CCTCGATATGAACCGACTTAGGGCGGCCATGCAGCCGGTGACGCATTGCACATCCCTAAGTTTGCTGGGAGGGCGCATCCGCTCTATAGCTCGTATCTTCTCGGGGTTGGCCTCGATGCCTCGGGCAGTGACCAAGAACCCGAGAAGCTTGCCCGTAGGCACGCCGAACACGCACTTGTCGGGGTTCAGCTTTATGCGGGCGGAGCGGAGACTTTCGAAAGTTTCCGCTAGATCCGAGAGTAAGGTCTCTTGGTTGCGCGTCTTCACAACCATGTCATCAACATAAGCCTCAACGTTGCGTCCTAACTGGCTACCCAAAGAAATTCGAGTGGTACGTTGAAAAGTAGGTCTTGCATTCTTTAACCCGAAAGGCATTGTCGTATAACAATAAGTTCCTATGGGGGTGATGAATGCAGTTTTTTCCTCATCCTCCCTAGCCATGCGAATCTGATGATAACCAGAGTATGCATCTAGAAAACACAAAAGGTCGCACCCCGCGGTGGAGTCGACAATCTGATCTATACGTGGCAAGGGGTAAGGGTCCTTAGGACATGCCTTGTTGAGGTCGGTGTAGTCGATGCACATCCGAAGCTTGCCGTTCGCCTTGGGGACGACGACCGGGTTCGCCAACCACTCCGGATGGATGACCTCACGGATGAATCCGGCCTCCAGAAGTCGCGCCACCTCCTCGCGGATGAAGGCTTGACGTTCCGGGGCCTGCCGCCGCACTTTCTGCCGGACCGGCCTTGCGCCCGGCCGTACGGCGAGACGGTGCTCAATCACCTCCCTGGGGACCCCGGGCATGTCCGCCGGTCTCCAGGCGAAGACGTCGGCGTTTGCCCGCAGGAAGGAGACGAGCGCGTCTTCCTATTTGTCGTCCAGAAGACCACCGATTCGTGTGGTCTTGGACGGGCCGTCGCCCAGGGCAACCTCCTTGACCGGGACCTCGTCGCACGTGATCATCCGCTGCCTCGGGGCGGCCGGGACGGAGGCGCTGAGCCTCTCGTCGCCACCCTCGGGCTTGGACGCCGCGGCGAGCTGGTCCGCGCGCTGCTCCATACAAGCAAGCGCGACTTGGAGGTCGCCATGGACGGTGATGGGGCCACCAGGGCCCGGCATCTTCATCTGGAGATAGGCGTAGTGGACTGCCGCCATGAACTTCACCAACGCGGGTCTCCCTAGGACCGCGTTGTAGGGCAGACTGAGGTCCGCCACATCAAAGTTCACCCGCTCCGTGCGGAAATTGGCGGAACCACCAAAAGTGACCGGAAGGTCGATATGACCTAGCGGCCAAGTGTGCCCCGGCGTCACACCGATGATCGGCTGGGACGGCCGGAGCACCATCCCCGGGGCCTTGATTGCGTCAAAGGCTGCGGGGGAAAGGATGTTGAGGGCTGCACTCCCGTCTATGAGGACACGCCTCAATTTCACATTGCAAATGGTGGGGGAAACCACCATCGCGATCTGTCCTCCCCGGGCAACGCACGGCGGGTGGTCGGTCTGGTCGAAGGTGAGGGCCACCTCCGACCATCGCGCCCGCCGCGTCGCCTCATGGGTAGGGGCCGCGGCCAGAAGCTCTCGCTTCACGGCCTTGAGGCTCCGGCGAGAAGCATGAGCGCACGCTCCCCCATCGACGGTGGCGACAGTAGCCTGAGGCTCCTGGAACCCCAGGTTATCGTCGCCATCGTCGACGTCCTCGGCGGGGGCCTTCTGCTTGGCCTCACCTCGCTGGTTGCCGGCGGGGGCCGCCGGGACCTTGCCCTCACGGCGCTTCTGCCTCCTCTCCTCCTCCTACTTCCTCGTCCGCTCAGCCAAACTTTTGACCGCGCGGCAGTCCGCGAGGTCGTGGAGGGAGGTGTTGTGCACGGAGCACCACTTGCCGGTCGGGCGCTCCCTGCTGGGAGCACCGGCCTCCTTCTTTCTGTCGCTCGCAGGCCTCCCCTTTCGGGTGGCCCGCGAAGCGCCCTCGACGGCGAGGACGTGCCCCTCGTCGTCGAAATAGGCCGACCTCTTCTTCCTCCTCCTGTCCCGCCGCCCTGACCGAGCGGCGGACCCGGGGGCGGCCGGAGCTGCCACACCGGAACCAGAGAAGTTCCAGGTCCAGGCCTCCTCCTTGCGAGCCACACGGTCCGCAAGCTGAAAAAGCTCCACGGTGGTCTAGGGCTCCTTGGAGGCGATCTTTTCGAGCATGCGATTGTGCCGCACGCCCCCCCTGAACGCGTAGATCACCGCGTGTGCGGGGATACACGGTATGGTATTGCGGACTTGACAGAACCGCTGAATTTACGAGCGAAGAGACTCATCGTCCCCTCGCTGTACCGCATGCAAGTCCGCTTCTTCACCTTGGCGCGGATATGTGCCCTGGAAGTTCATGGTGAACTGCTGGCACAAATCCTCCCAAGAGTGTACCGACGCGGGTGGCAAGCTCCTCACCGGGAGACCGCGCAGGCCCCCCTTTGCCGGTTCGGCCGGGGGCGCTGAGTGAGGTTCTTCACCCTCGATCTGTGGAACGTTCGCGAGAGAGCAAATGCACAAGACACGGGCGATGTATACAGGTTCGGGCCGCTGAGAAGCGTAATACCCTACTCCTGTGTTCTGGTGGATCTGTGTGTGAAGGAGTTACAGAGCAAATGGAGAGCAAGAGAGTTCAAGCTCTAGAACCCCCATTTTTCCTTCTCTTCTCGTTCTTTTTTACTCTCGATCTCCTCCCCCCTTTTTAGGTGGGCAAGGTCCTCCTTTTATATCTCAAGGGGATACCACATGCACTACTTCTACCTACTCTTCTTCTAGGTGGGGACCCACCCTATCTTGACCAAATCTTGACTCACGCCTCCGCCTGGAAGCTAAATCACCGCTTGTCCTTGAGTGATGCCCAGCGCCGTCGCTCGTCGGACACAGGGGATCACCCTGTCATTTCTTCATTAATAGGAGGAGATCTGCAATGGCCGCTGTCTGAATGACCCTCCGATGGGATGGGTCATACCTACCTCCACTCCGCCGGAAGCAGATGCAACGTGGGAGCACGGTTGTCTGCCGATGACGTGACCGGCATCAGTCCAGTCACAGACCAGTCATTCTTCTCCACCACGCGTCAGTTTAGCATGCCGCACATCTGCCCTTCTTCATACAGTGACTTCCTTGCAATGGTTGCGATGAAGCCTGGCATGAATCGAGTCGGGACTGACGTGCTAACTCCAGGAGTTACCACGCCGGCTCCAGCTAGGGACGAGTGTCAAGAGGCTCTCATCATTCCGACGGGACGGGGCGAGGCGTGTGACAGGCCGCCTGCTGCCACCTAACCCGCGATCTGACCGGTCTGTGACCGGTCACACACTGCGACCGGTCACGGACCGGATATGCGTGCGCCGTGCTGCATTAAATGCGGCGTGGCGCGCTTGTCCATTCCGCAATAAAAGTGGTTTGGTGAGCGCCGCTGTGCCCACCTAACCCACACCCGTGGCGCCAATACCACAGGGGGTCAGGGCGCCCCAGCCCTCGGGGCCGAAACAGGAGCGGCTCGACCCCTCGGGGAGACAGAGGAGGGGGTGGGCACGTCCCCCTCGGGCCCGACCCCCCGAGGGGGTCAGGCCACGTGGGTGACCGCGGCTGCCCAAGCCTCTAGTCATGATACTCCCGGTCCCATGTCACCGACAGCGACACGAATAACCATTGGGGATGGCGCAATAGCACGCTTCTGGGAGTCAACCTGGAAGTGTGGACGCCAACCAAAGGACGTGTTGCCACAGGTTTACGCTATCTCCAAAAGAAAGAACAGAACCTTAAGAGAGGCGATTGCAGATGATACCTAGTCGCAAGACCTATACCTCTTGATCCTAGGAGCAATGATAACCGAGCTTCTAGACTAGCTAGTGACCCTCTAGACAACAGTGGATAGTGTGTAGCTAACCCTAGATGTGGTAGATGAAATCACCTGGAAACTCACAAGTCCCGGAGAGTACATGGTAGGCTCAGCCTAGAAAGCATAGTTCCTCGAAGCCATCAACACGAACTACAATGCGAACATCTAGAAGCCATGGGGACCAAACAAATGTAAAATTTTCGCTTGGCTGGCTATCCAAAATAGAGTCTGAACTTCAAACAGGCCTACGACTTGGGGATAGCATACTGCACTTGTGCAGAGACGCACCCTTGAGACGGCGGTTCATCTCCTCATGGAGTACAGATACACCTGGATAATTTGGGGCATCCTAACGAATTGGATGGCACAGGAGTATAGCAAGCCGACCAGCTAGAACGCCGCCACATTAGTCCATAGCTGGTGGACAACGATGGCTAGCAACCTGGGACGCCCAGGAAAGGAATCCGCATTCTTCTCTTACTGAGCATATGGGAGATATAGAAAGAAAGGAACCTGATAGTGTTTCAACACAAAGAATTCTCAACACTAACCCACGTGAGAGGCTGCCAAAACTTTAAGCTCTGATAGGAGTGAAATACCTAGCACAGATCATCCCATAGTTTTTTCTCTTTCTGTAAAGTTTTGACTTTTGCACATTTTTTCTCATCCTATATTCAATAAAAAAGGGGCGTAAAAAATCTTCCACACTGAAAGGGCGATTGATATGGTCACAAATGAATAGAGATCCATATATGACACTAAACGGGTACGAGGGACTGCGTACTGATGGTTGCTATGGCTTGGCCTATTAAAAACAACTTTTTTTTAACGGAACCTATTAAAAAAAAACTTAACAATAGGCTTATGATCTTTGGGTCCGTTTGCCACCCAGGCACCCACAACATCGGTCGGCCCATCGACTGTGTCAGGCGACATAGGCTCTCAAGCGAGCATTTCATTCCAAGTTGCAACCTGCACATGATATAGCACCAGCATAATCTAGCTTAGTTTTCAAAAACGAAAAGATAATAGGATGGCACGATTGTGGATCTGAACATAACATGAAACTTTCAGTCAACTTGTAGCATGTCAGAATCTTTAGTACATATATTCAGGGCGGGAAGGAGAAGACGAATCATTCCAGCTTCCAAACAAATCTCATCTTTGATGTTTATTAACCTGGGTGGTTAGTGAAGGTAGGTACAATTTACAAACTTCCACTCCAACAAAAATTGCATGAATTCGAAAACCAAAGAAACAACCGCGGGATTTGGAATGTAGTTTAATTTACAGTGACAGCATTACGTGTATATATACACGAACAAAATGATTTAATTCATTCGATCGCAACCTTGACGATCACGTACGGCTAAAAGTCGCCGGGCTCGCCGGGCGGGGCACCGAAATTCCGGTGTCGCACTGTCACACCCGCCCGCCACGTCTAGCGGTGGTCCGCCTGCTCAGCCTCTCCGTGCCGGCCGCCTCGCCGCTGGCGCCGGCCGTCATCTGCACGTCCACCGTCACCTCCCCGGTGTCGCCGCCGGCTGCGCTGGTGGTGTACTCGGTGGACGGGTTCAGCCCGTACTCGCTAGTTGGCTCGCTGAACTCGCTGCTCGTGTACTCGCTGACGGTGCCCGTACCGGTGGCCGAGCCGAACGCCATCTTCCTGAGCCGCTTCATCTGGTCCGTCGTGCCGCCGCTCGTCCGCTGCATCGCGCTCTGCCCGGGCGTCACGCCAGCGTTCAGGTCCTCCGCCGCCAGCTCGCCCTCCAGGTAACGCACGATCTGACCATTCGAGTGTCCACATTTTCAGTGTACAAGCTACGGAGTTGCTGAAACCAGAAGCCGTGCGGTGTGTGCTGTGTGTTTGTGTTTGTTCAGTGAAGGTGTGAGGAGTTTTGGCAAGAACCTGGCTCATCCGCGGGCGAGACCGCGCGGTGTGGCGCACGGCGGCGGCCGCGCAGGCGATCAGCCGCCCCATGTCGTACGCGTCGTAGTTGTTCTCCAGCCTCGGGTCAACCAGCTCCTCGAAGTTCTCCTCCTCCACAGCTCTCACCAGCAGGGGTCTCGCCTGTTGGACACACACAGAGATGACTACTTTCACCGGCCGTGGCAAATGGAAATCTACGTGTTCGGTTCAAGACTCGGAAGCCCACTCACCCAAGAAACCAATGTGTCAGGCTGGTCACCGTGAGACACCATGATAGGCTTCTTCCCGGTGATCAGCTCCAGGAGCATCACGCCGAATGAGAAGACGTCGGAACGGTCGTTCACTTTGCCCGTGGCAGCATACTCTGGAGCTAAATATCTGGAGATACAAGTTGTTGACAGCACAAAGTTTAGTCCGCGTGGTGCGTGCACTGAGGAACTTTTGACGTACGAGTGCAAGTGTAATTGATTGTTGTGGTTGTGATGGTGATGTGTTTACCCAAAAGTTCCCATTACGCGCGTCGAAACAGCGGTCTGCTCAGTGGCTTGGTACTTGGCCAACCCAAAATCTGCAACCTGTACAAACATGTGTGCACCTTCGCGATAAATACGCGTATAACGTCAATTATTGCAGGTTCCAAATTTTCGCGATTTACCTTTGGTTCGAAGGTGTAGTCCAGCAGGATGTTGGCTGCCTTGATGTCTCTATGAATAATCTTAGGATGACCTGACAACAGTCAAAGCATGCCATCTTATCAGAACCACAGTTTCACAGATTCCGCATATATTTATGTGGTGTTTAGGAAGAAAGGACTAAACTTTAATCCTTTTAACAAAAGCACAAGTCTCTCTCATAGGGACTTATATTTTTGTTAGAGATTCCCAAACACCACCTTAGATTTCGGAGGAAACACAAGGTGGAACTCACAGTCCTCGTGCAGATACGCGAGGCCCTTGGCCGAGCCGACCGCGATCTTCCACCGCCGCGGCCAGTCCAGCGCCGGCCGGCCGCTACCTGCAGAAACCAACCACTCGTGTCAGCCCAAGCAAGCCCCAGCATTACACGCAACAATGGTACATCATCCGGCAGCAAGTACTTACCGTGCAGGTGGAACTCGAGCGTCTTGTTGGGGACGTACTCGTAGACGAGAAGGCGCTGCTCGCCGTAGATGCAGTAGCCGACGAGGGAGACGAGGTTCTTGTGGTGCACGCGGCTGATGATCTCCACCTCGGCCTGGAACTCGCGCTCGCCCTGCCCGCTGCCGGACCGCAGCTTCTTGATGGCCACCTCTTGCCCGCGCACCGTCCCCTTGTACACCTGCCCGAACCCGCCCTGCCCGAGCAGGTTCGATTCCGAGAACCCGTCCGCTGCCGCCGCCAGCTCGTCGTACCCGAACGCGCCGCCCATCATCGCGATCCCCGGCACCGCCGACGCCGCCTCGGACGCCCCGCCGCTGCTCACGAACGAGTGCGGCTGCAGCAGCAGCGGCGGCGTCGACGAGGGGCTCGGCGACAGCGCGTGTGACTGCTGCTGCGACGGCGGCCGGTGCGGGTCGTAGAATTCGGCTGCAGGTGGCACGGCAACAAAACAGGGAAAAAAAAAACATTCGATCAGCTCAACTCAATCGCCGCGCACAGATCGATGCATCCCTGGAGAAAATTTTCACGAGCATAGCATACAAAATGGTCAAACGCTAACGAGTGTGCGCCGCGAAGACCGCGGACACGAGCCGGACGAGATGGAATACGTCGCACTGTACGCGATGCCGATGTGTCGCTATCACCACCATCGGTCACCCGCGACGACCGCAGCGAAGGGCGTGGATGGGATCGCGCTAACACCGAAAAAGGCTTGGGGGACCCCGCGTCGCGCATTGTCGCGTCGACGTGGCCGCGACGTAGCATGATCTCGCGCGACCAACACTGCCAATGAAAGGAGGGGAATACGCGCTTACGTACCTGGGAAGGGTGGGTAGCCCGGGTGGTGCGGCGGCGGCGGGTGTTGGCGGCGCCGGCGCCTCTTGCTAACGAAGAAGTAGATCAGACCGGCGGCGAGGCCGAGCACGACCACCGCCGCGACGGCCACGCCGACGGCCACCACGGTCCCGTTGTTGGAGGACTTGGAGCCGGAGGAGGCACCCGACTGCGTCGGCGTCGAGGGCGGTGGCGGTGGGGATAAAGAAATTCGCGGTGGCGGTGGTGAGGCTGGGACGTTGCTGGGGGACGGTGGCGGAGACGGGGGGTTGTTACTCGGTGGCGGGGCGGTTGGGACATCGGGCGGCGGCGGGCTTGCGACAGGCGGAGGAGGGGATGGCGTCACCGGCGGAGGTGGGGACGGCGTCACCGGCGTTGGGGTCGGCGTCGGTGGAGGCGGTGACGGTGGCACTGGTGGAGGAGCCACCGGTGTAGGAGGAGTCACCGGGGGAGGTGTAACAGGTGGGGGGCTCACCGGGGGAGGTGTCACAGGTGGGGGACTCACCGGAGGAGGTGACACCGGCGGGGGAGTCACCGGTGGTGGCGTCACCGGAGGGGGTGAGACCGGCGGGGGAGCAGTCACCGGAGGAGGCGTCACGGGTGGCGTCTGCGGCGGTGGAGCCGCCGGCGTGACCGGCGCCGACGGCGCCTGAGATGACATGGTGGCACGCGGCGCAGGTGCAACGTTAGGCTCTCGGTATGATTCAACGACCACGACCAAATACCAATGGGCTAGCTAATTAGGAAGATTACGTGCAAGATATCTATGAGCTGGTTGCAGTTCACCACGAGGTGGTTTCCACTTTGGCCGTGTAACAATTCTTCGGCTTTGCTTGCTTGCTCGCCTGGTTCAAGCGAAAGCAATAACTTGGCTTCTCTTAAAAAAAACGAGAATCTTTTTCTGTCCTTTGTATGATGGTAGTTAGCTAGCCTGGGTGGTTAGATAAGATTGACCGTGCTGAAGTCAGAGTTCGGTTGGATTGTGCATTTGTGCTTCGTTGTGCTAGGAATAGTAATGGCGCTAAACTGCTAATCATGAACTTAATCATGTATTTTCGATGCAACCGTGAGTCTTTGACAGGTAGATCGACCTGGTCAGATACAGGCAGACAGCGCGACACCAGCAGCGAGCAGCCTCACCAACTTCGGTTACATGCGAGCAGCGAGCCAAGGACAAGGCTAGACGGCTCATTGCGTGAAGTAACAAACATAATCACACAAACCACTTGCCGACTTGTACAGTTGTACTACTTCTGAGCAGTGGCTGCGGTTTTTATGTTTTCTCAGGAGACAACAGAACAAGTACGGACACAGATCAGCCTTCAGAGTATTCTGATTTGTGAAACGATTGATCCACTACTCTGCTTTGATGATAAAAGTTTTGTGACTGTCCCGATCCATCGAGGGGAGAATATTGTTCTTTTTGGCAACTTGCCGAAAAGTGGTCTTGGTTAAGAAAATCCGCCGCCTATCGCACATGCAAAACCAGAAATTTTCCTTGACTGTTTCATGAGGGGAAAGGGCTGTCAAGAGATTGGTTACGTCACAGCGTCACGACCAATTCTATACTATATACTGTCTATACATATTGGCAAGTTGGATGCATGTTTTTGCTGTGTATGCATCAATCAAGTTCTGGTAGGCGAAAGCAACTAACTGGGGTGATCAGCACGCACGTTTTCGATGCCCACCAGTATTCCCGAATCATCGCGCAAGAAAAAAAAATCAACAATAAACAGCACATAATCGATATAGTATTTGGAATAAATCAGTACCTAATTATACTCGGTTTGAAGATGCAACTTCATCTTTTTTCATGAGTATCAATATAATTCTGAAATTCGTAATCGATAAATTTCAAATTGTTTTCAGTTTGGAGTTTAAATTTTAGCTCCTTTTGATATGATAATTTTAAAATTTATAATTAATAAATATATCAAGCTGTACTCAGTTTGGAGTTTCAATTAAATCGTATTGATTCAATAGTTATGAATTCGTAATTAATAAATATTGAGCTAATGCTTGGTTTCAATTTTCAACTATAGCTTTTTTTTTTGGTTTAATAATTCTAAAATTCGAAGTTAATCACTACAAATTTGGTCTTATGTGGGGGTCTCAATTTAGTATTATCTTTATAATTTAATGATTCTAAAAATCGAAATTAATAAGCAATGAGTTGCATTCGTTTGGAGTACTGTTTTTTTTAATTAAAGTAAAAAAACGCTAAAAAGGTACACATAATTTCCAATGGTATGCTTTTTATCACATAGATTATATGGGCTTTAGAAGTAGGCCATGACGTTTTGGTCGACATACATGGGCTTTAAAAGTGGCCCGTGAAGTGAAATGCACATATATTTTATTAACCCCAATTTATATTATAATGTATTTTAACTTTTTTTTTCATAGCCAAAACTTTTTAAATTTGATTAAGTTTATACAAATATAGGAACATCTACAGCACCAAAATAAATAAACTATTTTGATATACATTGAACATATTTTGATATATATATATTTGTTTTATGTTGAAATGCTATGTTTTAACTTGATTAGAATTTAAAATTTTAATTTTAAGAAAAATTAAAATGACTTATAATATGAAACAGAGAGATATCTATGATCATAATAAGTGGCCCACGACCACAATGTTCCCAATTAGTGTAGATATATAGGTAAGGATGGACAGATGGATCGATAATCCTTGTGGCAAGTTGACTTAACCATCGTAAGGTAAGGTAAGTGACTTGAGGCAGCTAATTAATCCCTTTGAAAATTGAAATAATAGTTACCTTAGTCTCTTAAGGGAGAGGAGAGAAGACGGAAACATCGTTGTTTAACTTAACAATTGCTCAACAATGACTCTTAGCAAAAAAAAAAAAGTGAAGAGACTAGATAGCACCAAGCATTGTACATCCAAGACTAGATAACACCAAGCGTTCAACGAGAGTTAACGACACATGCAGCGATTTAATTAATACTCCTTTCTATTTCCTCTGTCTTATAACATAAGAGATTTTAAGAATATAAACAACCTAAAATCCCTTATATTATATGACAAAGGGAGTATGTATTAATGAAGAGTCTGTTCAAGAGATAGTTATATGAAAGGGCATTTTTCCGACTTGGAATACCTACAAGCTTGCATCGGACTATACCTTTGAGCATGCATGCCCTTACTCCGAGTTGGAGTAATTTTGGTCCCTAGCATTTTACTTTGTCTTGTCCAAATGTAACTAAGGTCATAAGGTCTAATATTATTACTCTACAGATATGTAAGGTCAAATTAGATTTATAAATGGTGATAGAAAAACAAATTTAACTGTATGAAACAACTGCATTTTTTTTCACAAAATGATTCTTTTGCGTGGACGTCAAATTCGCTCTTACACGTTCTTAGTTTTCTTAAGATATTTTATAACTATTTCAAGCGTTTGCAAGAAAAGATGGCACATGCGTAAGGTGTTTAAAGTACTGTTCCCATTGTTAGCCTTAACGTGTGTACAGAATGGTGCGAACGTGCCGTTTGAACCGCTCGCCGCTAGACACAAGACGGTGTCCAGGTCGAACGCGCTACGCAGGCACGCTACGTACGCAATGCCGCCGTTTCGGTATCGAACTGTCGATCCTCTTGACTTCATCAGGGCTAAACACCGCAAAAAACTGGAGCTCTCGCGCTGGCGATGCGTGCGCGCGCGCGGTTGTCACGTGCGTCGACATGCCCGCGACGTAGCATTGTCTCGTGCAACGGCCGCGCGCGCGCGTCAAATGTCAATACGCAAGTACGTACGTAGGGCGCGTAACTTACTTGGAAACACCGGGTACGGCGATGGCTGGTGATGGCTTCGGCGGCGGCGGCGCCCCTTGGCGACGAAGCAGTAGATCAGCACGGCGGCGAGACCGAGCAGGACGACCGCGCCGACCACGCCCGCGGCTACTGCCACGGTCCCGTTGGAGGACGACGACGGGGCGGACGAGGACGCCGGCTGCGGCGGCGACGGCGGTGGAGATAAATTAATGAGCGCCTGCGGAGGCGCCGGTGAAGACGGGGCATTGCCTGCATCGGGTGACTGTGGAGGCGGTGGTGAAGATGGGGGGCTGTTAGAGGGTGGCTGCGGCGGCGAGACGTTGTTGCTCGGTGGTGGCGGCGAGGCCTTGGGCGCTGGCGGGCTTGGAACAAGTGGAGGAGGAGATGATGGCACCACCGGCGGAGTTGGGGTTGGCGTCACCGGTGTAGGGGTTGGTGTCGGCTTTGGTGATGGTACTGGAGGTGGCGGAGGAAACACCGGTGGAGGTGGTGGTGAGGTTACCGGGGGTGGCGGAGGAGGTGTCGCTGAAGGGACAGGAATCGGCGGAGGAGGAGGCGGCGGCGACGGCGGCAACGGGGCAGGGGTCGGCTGCGGAGTAGGCTGCGTTGGCGCCGCACCGGACATGGTTGCGCTGCGTGCAAGTGCAACGTGGTGCAGGTATCGGTATGATCCGTACGGAGGGGGCAAGAAAAGAGATTTTTGTTGCTTGCCTCGAGCGACAGCGACGGCATATGTATAGCTCCCCCGCCGCAGTGCGTAATCGTGAGCATTCTGATGCCAGCGTGGCAAGCAGAACCGGTCAGATACAGACGGCTAGCAGCTTAGCATACTCACTCTCCAACTTCGGTCGCAAAGTGTTTAAAATGAGCAAATGACAAAGGCTTGACCGCAAATACAAATGAAACTCAGGCTGCCCGGCGAGAAAAAAAAAACGAAGCTGTTGCCGTTTCTTGTACTCTTTTTTTTTTCCTTGAGCAGTGACTGCGGTACGTGTTCTCTCAGAAGATATAAGCTACGCCGTCGATCAACCTGGGTTCTGAGTTGATCGATCTGGAGCGCAGGAGCGGTATGTTTTTCTGCTCCGAGTATGAAGCTTGCGAGTCTCTAAAGTCAAGCCAAGGTAAGATTATTTTTCTTGGGCAATTTGCTGAAAACGGTTTGGGGCTTTGGGCTTAATTGAATCCATCCGCCTTTCGCAAACTCAAGGCCAACAGTTTTTCCTTGACTGTATCATGAGGGGCCAGGAAACGGATGTTTAATCAAGTGATTTCATCACTTCCATACTAGTATATGGGATGGTTGGATGCATGCTGTTGCTATGTATAAATGGATCAATCACGTTCTAAGATGCGAAAACAGATGTAAACACATTCTAATTATCATGCACAATTTATCAACTGTATATAGTGTAAATCGGACTAGCACAATAGTTTAAAGATAATTTAGACTTTATTTCTTTTTTTTAAAAAAAAAAGGTAAAATGAACTGTTATAACTATAATCCATAAGTAATTTGTGCAATCCGAAAGATAGGTGTTACAATATATCTTATGGATTGCGCATCACACTCTATGTTAATTTGGATATACAAATCAAGTTCAAGTTCACATTAGGTGGGTTAAGCCAAGTTGGACATCACTTATATATAGGTTGAGCACAAATGTTGTCTTCACTATTTCGACTAGATATGCGCGCCTAAAATAAAATGGAGTAAATTTTAGAAAACCCCACCTATTATTACGGTCCAAGTTGCACAAAATCACATGGATTTTGACACGTGGCATATAACATAATTATTATGGTCTTAAAGTTTCACAAAATAACATTGCTAACCATTTTGACACACTCTTATATCAAAATTTAGAATAAATATATTTATAAATTTGACATGTGATTGTATAAAAAAAATATGGTAGATCTGAAGACAAAATGGAAACTAGTGTGGTTTTGTGAAACTTTAGGACGATAATATCAGGGTTATGTGTCATATGTCAATATTAGTGTGGTTTTGTGTAATTTGGACCATAATAGATAGGGTTTAAAGAAATTTGTATAACTAGTTTGAACAAATATTGCAAGATGAATGATTAACTTAATACTTGCTTTTCAAAGTTGTGGCACTACCAGGAACCAGCTCCATCGTTTGCTTAAGAAGAAAAGAACAAAGGTAGTTGTAGCTCATAATAGTTCACTAGAAGAATCTTGCATATTGTAAAAAATGTTCCCATATATTCTACTATGATTGCAAGTTGGACAGTTACGTGTTATACTCGCCACAATTGACATTTCTCAAAGTGTGATCACCTAATTCATCAAATATTGCATTTAGCTAGCGTTCTCTCTTACGACTACCAATTCTTAACCTATCTAACAATCTGTTTAACATGTGAGTGCATGTGTCGCATATAGTGTTATCGTCATATTGAATCTACTAGTCCGAGGTCCAAATGCTTTAGCTTGCATGAATGGTTCATCCCGATAATATCCTTACTGACGATAGAAGGTTGCATTTTTTTTTATAATTGTAATTCCTTATGACAAGTTGCATAAGTCAAACTGTTGCAAGGTACTACCTCCGTTTTTAAATAGATGACGCCGTTGACTTTTTCTCACATGTTTGACCATTCGTCTTATTCAAAAATTTTATGCGAATGTATAAGATATAAATCACACTTAAAGTACTATGAGTGATAAAACAACTCATAGCAAAATAAATTATAATTACGTAAATTTTTTGGATAAGACATGGTCAAACATGTGAAAAAAAGTCAATGGCGTCATCTATTAAAAAATGGAGGGAGTACTAACTAAAGAAGCATGTATAGCAACGAAGATAGCCATGACTTGCACCAAAGCGTAAACAATCCTTCAACCCCCCCCCCCCCCTCTTTTTTAAGACATTACTTTTATTCCAGAAGCTTGAAACACAATAAAGGAGGCATTGCATGAAGCTACCAAATGCCATCGTATACGAAAAATTGAATTCAAAAAACTAAATCCTTCTAAAATATATGAATTTTTACCTTGGATATGGGTATTAAGAAAGTATGTGGATTTAAATGGGGAATGTTGTGATTGTTTAAGAAAATGAAGTAAGTGGAGAATTTCAATGGTGAAAGGTTATGGTTGGTTAGGAAAAAAATATTGGTGAAGAATTGATATATTTCAGGATAAATTTTAAATGATAGATGTCATTATATTTCAGAGTCGAAGGAGTACCATTTTAAAACTATGAAATGGCTATTTCGCTTCTTTATTTCTTCTTCTCTTTCTATTTCTGTTTTATGAAGGCAACCTGCATGTCATGGTCCTAGTTTAATTAAAAAATAACGAAGTTTATTAAATTTTAAACCACGGGGTCTCCCCTTCGGTGCTTGAGTTTTGATATAGCGTAAAAGAGCGATTAACAGAGTGAAGTTGGATCGTACCATCACAAAAAAAACAAGGGTGGGGTGGTTTAAAAAATGTATGCCAATCCCTCTATGAGATCACACAAACTTGTAGAGCACAAATAAAAAAAAGTATCTTAGTACTGGCAGATATGCAGACATCGTTGACTTTTGAATCCATATTTGACCAATCATCTTATTTAAAAATTTTATGCAAATGTATAAAATATAAATTATGCCTAAAGTATTTTGAGTGATTAAACAACTCATAACAAAATAAATTATAATTACATAATTTTTTAAATAAGATAAATGGTTAAACGAGTGACAAAAAGTCAACGACGTCATCTTTTAAAAAAAGAAGAAAGTGATTATATATAGTATGTGTCCTCGCACTCTACCCATTTCTCCGAAATGTGCAAATAATCAGCATAGACACTATTCACAGCCGAATTATTTGTTTCTGTAGCTCGAGTTGAACTTGAGAATCTATGTGAGTGGCATGTTCAACTCGATGTATTCAAATTATTTCAAAATCGTTGGCAACTAGTCCCTCCATCTACTTTTATAGTCATATTTCCAAATCTAAAAAATTTATTTTTGATAGGCATATTTCAATCTAACAACTTACTCCCTCCATACTTATAAAAGAAGTCGTTTAGAGCAATGTTTAAGTCAAAAATTGGGAATATAAATCATGAATAACTCTCAAGTTGTTGAGTTTGAAAATATAAAAATTATACAAATAGATTTGTCTTGAAAAATACTTTCATAAAAGTATACATATATCACTTTTCAATAAATATTTTTTATAGAAACAAGAAGTCAAAAGTTGTGTTTTGGAGACCGTGTCGTTATCCTAAACGACTTCCTTTATGAGTACGGAGGGAGTATTATCTTAATGACTTTCTTGGATTTAATGCGTGACTCTCCATTCTTCCACACAAGATTAGCTACATGGGCATTGAGAAATGTAAATATTAATGAATCGCTTGTTTACGAGAAATGACTAATAGCATATTTAAATGGATGATAAGTAGAATCACTTATTGTTAGTCTATGTACCAAGATGAAATATGACTATCAAAAGTAGATGTAGGAAGTATTTGGTTGCATGTGAGAAACATGTAATTGTCCTTTTATGTTGTAAAATATATTTATTCCACACCGCTGCTAACTCGATAATGGTTAGCACTGGCAAAATATTCAAAATGGTGTGGATGTGCCTTTTAATTTGAATGGTCATGTCCAATTGACCATGATCATTCTCGACGCCCGCGTAATCAAAAGTAAATAGATGGAATTACTGTAACACACCACAAACAAACTGGGGCGTGGGTAACAGCCGTGCAAGCGTGTGATAAGGTTAAGCGTAAAGCGTACTCCCTCCGTACATCTTACCTATCCTTAGCACAGAAAACGATAAGTTTTATTTCTTCAATACCTTTTATCTACATATCTTTTTTACTACTTTAATCAATTATTAAGGGTATTTTAGTTATTCTTCATCTCTACTACTTCTACCTTAAGATGCTAGGAATGGATTTGTTTTTGGGACGGTGGGAGTATCTATCAGCTGCGACGATAGTTTCTGGCGATCTCAACCGTTAGATGAAGGAGCAAGTCAAGCACCAGCTGCAGTGACACACCTACTTCAACCGTCGATACAGCATCGTAATATACCTATGCCGTCCGTTTAGCCAACCGTTCATATTTCAAATGGCGCCGTGCCTTTATAACGCGAAGGCAAGGAATTTGTTTCCCAGGAAAGGTGATACGAGCATATGTACCTGGCAATGACGGCGGAGGCTGCTGTTGGCGACGGCGCCTCTTGCCGATGAAGAAGTAGATCAGCCCGGCCGCGAGACCGATCACGACCACCGCGGCGACAGCCACGCCCACACCCACTGTGGTCCCGCTGCTTTTGGATGATGAAGGTGAGGGTGACGTCGTTGGCGCTTCGACAGCCTGTGGTGGTGGGGGTGATGGCGGCGGAGGTGGAGAGTTTTGGACCTCGGGTGGTGGAGGGCTTGCAATAGGCGGAGGTGGAGACGGTGTTGGACTCGGCCTCGGTCTGGATGGTGGTGGTGGTGGAGGGTTCACGGGAGGAAGAGGTGGAGGGCTCACGGGAGGAGGTGGTGAGGGGAACACCGGAGGAGGAGGAGGAGGAGGTGGGAATTGCGGATTAGGCCTAGGATTTGGGGAAGGTACCGGATTCGGAGTAGGGGCCGGACCAGGTGCTGGGACTGGGGCAATCACTGGAGGAGGCGGTGGTGGAAAAGGTGGTGGAGGTGGTGGTGGTGGAAATACTGGAGGAGGCATAGGGGGGTCCACCGGAGGTGGAGGACGTGGAGCTGGAGCAGGCGTGGGGGGAATCACCGGAGGAGGAGATGGGGGATTTCCTGGAGGAGGCGGCGGTGGGTTCTCCGGAGGAGGTGGTGGAGGGTTCCCTGGAGGAGGTTGTGGTGGAATAACCGGAGGAGACGGTGGAGGTGTTGTTGGAGTAGACGGCGGAGGTGTTGTTGGTGACGATTGGGGCGGATTTGCTGAAGGAGGTGGCTGTGGAGGCCGATCAGGGGGAGCTGGTGGCGATTGGGGCGGATTTGCTGAAGGAGGTGGCTGTGGAGGCCGATCAGGGGGAGCTGGTGGCGATTGGGGCGGATTTGCTGAAGGAGGTGGCTGTGGAGGCCGATTAGGGGGAGCAGGAGGGGTCGGCGACGGGCTGGACATGGTTGCGCGGCGTGCAAGTGCAACGTACGTGCAGCTCCCAGCGTGATCACTAAACGACCAATAGGTCCAATGCTAATGGGCAAGAAGAGGAGAGAGCATCAAGAGCTTATATATACCTATGAGCTGGACGCAGTTCGCCACGAGGTGGTTTTCTCTTTGGCCGTGCAGATCTTCGTGTCGCTTGCTTGCTTCAATTTTCAAGCGACGTAAGCAACAGACGCACAGGCGAAACTTGGTAGTATCCATGAAAAGACTAGGCTACTCTTCTTATTTCTTTTGCCGTAGTAGCTATCAGTGTTAGATAAGATTGACCGTGCAAAGTCAGAGTTCGATTGGATTGTGCGAGGAATAGAAATGGCACTAAACTTGCTAATCATGAACTTAGTCATGGATTTTTTTATGCAAGTGTAGCATTAACCACGAGGAATAGAAATGGCACTAAACCGCTAAACATGAACTTAGTCATGGATTTTTTTTTTATGCAAGTGTAGCATTAACCAGGTAGACCTGGTCAGATACCGGCAGAGCACTTGCGAGCCAATGATATAGGTTGACAGCTTAATACACAAAATGAGGCTGACCTCTGTTTTTTTCTGGGCAGTGGCTTCGATACTTGTATCACCATTCATCACTAGACAAGTATGGCCAGCAATCAACCTGCAATATTCAGAAACAACGTGTCCGCTCATGTTTTTTCTGCTCGGAAGTTCGTCAGTCGTAGCTATGAGAGAGAGATTCAGGATTTTGACATATGAGGCAGATTTTATTTTCATTTGGGTGCCACTATGATGACATATCAACCTAGACTGACATGTCAAAAGCAATTTATGTGATTATTTGGTACTAAGCATAAGAACCGCATGTAACATCAGAAGGAAAGAGTAAACCCAGCCACATCAGTTATGTTAATTCCATTTTAGAAGCTCAGAACAAAATAAAGGAGGCAGCCCATGAATGATGAAGGTTCTTAAGAACTTCGAAGAGACAACTAAAGATCAAGCAAAAAATGCACTAAAATAAAACACGGTCACTGTGAAGTTATCCACAACTGGTAAATTGAAATAGCAATTTGGTCACTCCATCACCCATAGACTTTTTGAGTCCATACTTCATTATACACGCCAGCAGTAAGCAGGAACACATCTTGGAAGCAAAAAACTAAACAAGAACTAGCAAGTTTCATACAACGCAGTAGCTATTGGAGTGGATGAGACGGTGACAGTTTAGTTATATAAAAGAAATTAAAGATATCAAATGTTCAAGTTGAGATGGTTACAATGGTTTTCTAATAATTGGTGCATGGGGTGACATCCAAATACACGATGTTTTAAAACAATACTCTAGCCTTATTAAGTCTAATCTAACATATATACCCAGTAGTTTGAAGGAGGCTATAGGTACATATGATATGATAATGGTGCATCAGCAAATCGACCGCGTGATCAAATGCAAATATATATACTCCATATATAAGCAGCAAAGATTTTGAAGTTGCTAGCATACCATCTTTTCCATAGAGAACAGGCTAAATTAGTTTCCTAGTATGTAAAAAACATGCCCTTTCAACCAACCACGCTACATTAACATATCCAACAAAAGAAAATCACAAAATCTACCTTTCTTACTAACAGTAAAAAAATCTCATTGAAACAGTGCAATAGAAAACAAAACCCAGTTATAGAAGTGTATGGACAGGTATGCAACACAACACATCTAATACCATGTGGCCTATGGTCACAGTTTCATCTATTACTTTGCTGAAAATGTTCAGTGGATAACTGGAGTCAATGGATCATCAGTATGCAAGATGTTCCATAAGACTTCACCAGACAATACAATAATAATATAGCAAGATGAAAGTCAACTGTACTTCCATCAACATGAAGCTTGGCCCTTTCCACAAAAAAGGGAGTGGCATACTCTGCTGTAGCAGTTCAAGAATGCTAACTCTACAGAACTTATTATCAGAAAACTGTTCGTACTCTTACCTATCATTTCCATCAACATGAATCAGAAAAGCAATTAAATCCTGTTCTCTCTCCAGGTCTGCTCAAATAGCATTACCTGTTGTTTCGGTAGTCGATGAGTTACAGCTATTGTAACTAACAATTTCATCTATACTAAACGCTGTGAATATATGAAGTTTTATACATGAAAATACTAAGGAAGAAAAAAAAAACTAGCTATACTACAGTATATCAGTAAAGTTATGCAAATAAGCTATGAACCATTTGCCAGGCAACTGAGACTACTCAACCAGTTAGGCTGTTCACAGACTCAGACCATCATATCTAGCAAGTGCTGAAGAAAAAGTAACTTAATGTTTTTATAGGCAAAAACTGAAAAGGTCCTAGACACCTACTCATGTATAGCAAATACACAGGGCATAGTGGCCAAGGAACAAGTATAATTGAAGAGTGGTAAAGTACAATAATTTTGAGACTAGAAATGAAATCTCATCCAAGCCACATAGGAATAATGATCATTATTACTTTATCAGTGCCTCAGTGCAGCTTCCAATCCATACAATTTTATTTAGAGCCTACATTGGGTTGCTATGAAACAGCCCGTATAACATCAATGCACTCAAACTCCCAAAGCCATAATTAATCGTAAGAAAGTTCTTGGTCAATACCTTGCCTCATGGGCATCGGTGCTATCAATTTTCTGCATCTATTCAGCCAATCCAATAGCACGTACTACGTAGGCCACACTAGAGAAACGACATGCTAAAACCATTCACTGTAATCCATTTCAGATTTTAATAAATGAGACAAGCAAACTACGGTTCTAATTAGTACCTGAAGAACGCACAAACAACATTGCAACACTGTTATTCAGCCGAATTAACCGAATAAAATCTCCAAGATTTCAGCAATTGAAAAGACAACAAGTCATGACAGCTTATTCAACAAACAGATCCCACGCAACAGTCTGAGCACTCCAAAATACTCCCTGTCCAATTAAAACAGTATGGAGAACAAACCGAACGGAGAGTCCTTCTCCCGGTCGCAGTCTCGAGGCATCCACCGGAGGCAGCACTCACAGAAACTTCCTGTACGGCCGGCCGGCGTCCTCGTCCTGCATATGCTGCAACCAAACAAGCACGCACAGAGAGAGATTCTTCGTTAGGACCTGGATAACCCAAGAGGGCACGGCAAGGAAGAGGAGGGGGGGTTCGGAGGAGGGGATTACGAATTCGCGGACGATGCCCTTGTAGACGAGGATGGGGACGGCGAGTCCGAAGAGGCCGACGACGGCGAGGCTGCGGCGGGTCCAGCGGAAGTTGAACTCGAGGTTCTCGCGGCCTGCGTTCCACTCCTCGATCCACTTGTTCTTGTGCACCTCCATGCCGCCCCCCATCTTCTCCGCTCCCTCTCCTCGATCCGCCGCCGCCGCCGCCTCCTCTCTCCGGCTGCGAGAATGCGCTGGTGGGCTCGTGAAAAGGGGCAAAGACCCGACGCCGATCTGGTTTGGGGAGACGGCCGCAAGGTCGCTACTGTCCCTGGCGTTTGGGGATTACCAAGGATGCCGCGAGGATTGCAACCCGCATGCGGAGAACGAGAGCGTACTTCCGGGCTCACACTTGCGGGTTATGAATGCACATCACCCAGAAACCCGTGTCAGCTTCGGGAAGACGGGTTTCCATAATACGTTGCCTTTGTTGAATCCAGAAAAGATTTAATCCGGAAAATAAAGCAGTTGCGTCTTGCAAACAGCTGAATTCTCGTTTGAATTTTTTTAATATGCGTAGGAAATATAAATAGCATTGTATTTTAAATCAATGGAGGATCATTATGGGTTGTTTTGAGTAGTTATATATAGTTTTTATGTACTTCCTATATCCTATAAAAAAGCAAATTGACAGGAGGAATTTGCACATAGTTCTACAGATTTATTTTCATGTGACGGAGGGAGTACACTTCATACACATTAAGAAACATTAGCCAAAAGGGTGGAGCAATTTCAATTTGTTCTCCCTTGTGATTTGGGTTGTAAAATTTGGCGATATATATGGATTTTTAGTTCTACCCTCACAACTAAAAGGATTTATATTAGGTAGATGAAACTAATTTTGCTACTTGTGTTTTCATATGATCTTTTTTTAAACACTGTATAAACACATACGCTCACAATACTTAAAAAAACTATATAAACACTCACAATACTTACGCACTTACTCATATGTATTCACACACGTACAAAATATTCCTATTCGCATCTCTGAATTCGCTCACAAGATTGTGAATTTGAGATGGGGCTAAGGGGGAAGAGTTGATCAACTGTTTGCATTGGCGAGATTATTCGGAATAGTTTAGCTTTGTACTACTCTCTTTTTTAGACTGGTCTTTGTACTCTTGTCTTCGTTAGGGTCAATCTAGCATGGAATTGCTCCATTACTTTGGAAGCCCTGGAGTGCCAAGAAAGGCTATGCATTTTGTGTTGAATGGATTTGTCTACCTATTACTGTTGCGTCCTATTACGAGCTGACAATAAAAGCTTACAATCTTGCAGGTGATCGGTTGCCTAAACATTTCAAAGATGTTTCGTGGAGCAACCTAAACTAGTCTCATCTCTATATTTATTTGTTTAGAGCGCTCGATCTAGTTTTACTTCTATTTTTAATGGACATTAAACTGTTTGGCTAACATTCAGCTCCACGAGAGATGGAGTTAGAGCTAGAATTGTGTCAAACAAACCCTGAGATAATTGAAATTAGAGGATTAATGAATAATCTATTTTTATACTATCTGAGGACATAAATAAATAAATTAACTACTACAGAGTTAAAAAGTCATATTTAGAAAAGTATTCAAATAAAATTTTATAAATATTTGCTTTTAAGCACACGCCGTTTAGAAGCATAAGAAGCGTGCAAATGAAAATTCGGAATCAGAAATGAACAGTGCCTTGATATATCACCTTGACCCTTCGTGGGAAAAAAAAACAACTCCCTTTGCTTCTGAATAAATTATACGACACTATTTATTTTCATACTTTGACCACTTGTCTCTCGTGTAACATATTTGCAAATACTTAGTAAAATGTCATGATGTTGAAGTGTTTAGTGTCCATAAATATAAGCAAAATTTAATTATTTAAGAGTAGCTAGTGGTCAAAGGCGAAGAAACTGAAACATATTGTCAGTTAGTCGAAAACAGTATCCTTATTGTGAAATTCGCAGTATATATCTCACGCAATACTATTTAAACATTAAACTCAGAAACTACAGTAAGCCCAAATCTGTGGTTTAAGTAATCTTACACCCAAAAGCAAAACCTCATATCTTCCCGATTGAAAAACACAAACTTCTCTATTCAGAAGAAACCATGATTTTTCCATTAGGTTTCACCGCTCGAGGAACATTTCCCTTTCCTTTACCAATAACCCAGATCGTTTTTAAATACTTCAGCACTAAGCACTAAACACACATACTAGGTCCCATGATAGCAGCTCGAGAAGACGAGAATCACTATATTTTTATGGCAAAAGAATCACTATATTAACCGTACTGAAATCGTGAAAGCAACTTGGGCTAGTAGGAAATAATCTAAGCAACGGAAAAACGTGGGCCTAATTAACCCATAAGTCCAGCAAATGGCGTACAAAAACCCTTCAGTCCCATCAGCCCTTCTGCTGCTCATCATCTTCCACTTCTAAGATTTCAAACAAAGAAATCTCCATCCGGGCCGGGGGACCAGCTGAGGAGGAGAGCCATCCCCATCCATCCATCAATCTGCTCGCGCGGATCCGGAATTTGCGAGAGGAGGCATGGTGAGTTTGCAGGGGGCGCGAGGGGGCGGCGGCGGCGGCGGCGGCTACGGGTGGAGGTGGGGGGAGAAGGCTGGCCTGGTCGTATCCCTCCTAGACGACGCGCTCTTCCACGTCCTCTACGCCGCCGAGGCCGTCGTCCTCTCCGCCGCGCTCTGCAGCTTCTTCCTCTGCTGCGGCTGCAACATCTGACGAGACCTGATGGGTACCTGATCTGCGTGCTCTTCTGCTTCGATGCGGCGGCGGCCGGCGTCCTAGTCCGACCTGAAGCCTGGTGAAAGGGCGGCGCCTGTATCATCATCTCCTCGCACAACTTCGCATCGCATGTAACCTTCTCGGCGTTGGCCGTCGCGTGGCCTGTTCAGTTCTGTTTGGCTTCTTGTTCTTTTGTGAGCCAAGCACGTTGCACCTGACCGGAGTGCTTGTTGCTGTTGCCTCTTTTCTTTTGCTCCTGGAGAAAAATTTTTGTATCGCGCTGTTCCCGTTCTGAATTTTTGATGTACTAGCAATTATAAGTTCTAAATTTTCAAATTCTGCAAGTGATCTCATAATTTCCTGAATTTTGTGCGATTCTGCCGTGAGTTTCAGTGTAGCATTCTAATCGTATTCCGTTGTGCAATTGATGTACTTGCAAATTCCTGGTGTGCCTGACTATGGTTAGAACTAAGAAATCATCTTCCCTCGTTTGTATCGAAAGGAAAGAAACTAGGCTATTTCATGTGATCTTTGCGCTAGAATGCTTGTGACTTTTGAATTTCGATTAGATAATTCCCAGTAGGGTACAGTACTTAAGTATGACTCGTTTCTTGCAGCATTCGCTGGTGCACTCCTCGTCCGTTTTTTTCATTTATGGCCGGCGCAATCCGCGCAAAGGCGAGAGCACGTAGCGCCCAGCTGAGCACATGATGTATGCTGGCACTGGCACGTTGCTGCTGCTGCCATCCAGAAGTAAATGAAAGCATGGAACGCCAAGGTCCAGCACATGGACATGGACATGGACATGGACATGGATATGCCTGGCGCTGTGCACGAGGCAGAGGAGAAGAAGCGTGGAGGAGCGCGGGAGTGACGTGGTGTATGTTGACCACGACTCCTCCAGAGAGATGCCTAGGTGTCGCTGGATGAGTGAGTGCTGAGTACGTTTTAGTTTATGATATTTTTTTATTTTGACCCAGTTTACAGATAAATACAGTAATATTTATATTTTTAAATAAATTTTATTAAATTAATAGTTAGATATATTTTTATAATAAATTTATCTTGGATCGAAAATATTACTATTTTTCTATAAACATTGTCAAACTTAAGATCAAAACATCTTATACCTGAGAGAGAGGGAGTAGTATTTTTTTATTTTCTTTTTACTCCCTCCATGTTAGACATAATTTAGTTTGTCAAATATTTATTATACTAAATTATGTTTAATCTAGACCTAGATTACTTATTATATTTTGAGATAGAGGGAGTAGCATTTAGGGACTTTTTTTAATAGGACCAATGTTAAGTGATCTCAACTTGAAAATTGATTTGCATTCCATAGAATTCCTTCATTGAAAAATATAAATATATACGGGATTCCAATTATATACTAAAATATAAATCTTTTTTTACTCCCTCCGTCCCATTATAAGTGCGGCCATGAGTTTCCGTGCTCAACTTTGACTGTCCGTCTTATTTAAAAAAATTTAGATTAGTATTTTTATCATTATTAGATGACAAAACATGAATAGTAATTTATGCGTGACTTATGTTTTTAATTTTTTTAAAAAAATTTTAAATAAGATAGACGATCAAAGTTGGGCACAGAAAATCATGGCTGTACTTAAAATGGGACGGATGGAGTACCTACTTCCCTATCTCAATGTATCAATCGCAACTATTTCTCATCTTAACAGTAATTTTCGATAAAACATATAAAAATAACTATATTTTGAAATAGTGTTAGGTAATTTTTGCAACACAAAATACGTATATTTTTAGATGGGTGAAATAGGTTAATTTTGCAATACAACTAATAGCTCCACGCAATCTTGCGAGAGGCAACATAAATTACCAAAAACTATCGAAACTATCGGGAGTACGTGAGAATACTTTGGGTTATTTGGTTAGGGGTTGAAGTTTGCCAAGCCTTAGATGTGGTGTGATTTCTTAGGCTAGTTGCATGACAAAGATTAGACAAAATCACTTTATTAGCACATGAGCCCATACGTCATAGCTAAAGATTGCCATGGTTGTGGATAACAAATTATTTGGCACATTTTTATGTGACTTGTCATACCTATGGCAAATGAAGTTATAGCAAAGTTAGCCTCTATCCCAACGTAGGCCCTTTATTTGCCTTACTATTGGTAATTTATCCAAACTAACCATATTAACTCCTCTTGGTGTTTTCAAGAAAAAGTACATTGTTTTTACATTTAATAAATAAGGGTGATTAATAAATAAAATAAACAATGATCAAAGCCAATGCATTTATAATGTTTCCATGCTTTCCATTTAAATTGCATAGTGATACATTCAATAAATAAACAGGTTTCATAAATTTGTTAGGTTGTTTTGGAATTTGTTTTTTTCAAAAACATGTTAAACAAACTAAAAAAATACATATTTTCTACTTTTTATTTCATTTAGTAATCTTGGATTCTTTGAAGGAATTTTAGGAGTATTTAGGAATTGTGAATAACAAATTATTTAGTAATCTTGGATATCTCCTTCCTCACTGATTTGGAGCCCAAGCTCCAAATCTTTGCTTCTGTTTTTCTTTAATCCAATAATATTACTACTCCAATCG